GGTGCGCAGGGTTGGGGTAAAGGATGTAGTCGTTACCTGCCAGGTAAATAACCCGCTCTGCATTGCTGTAAATAACCTGGCCGGTGACGAGTTCAATTCTTACCCTGTATTGGTTAACGCCTTTGTTCAGTGCATCGTCAGTTAGATGGTACTGCAGCTGTAAAGGGGCTGAAAAGACCTGCAGTACCTGGTAAATGCCGCCTGCAGTCATTTTCTCTACTACTACGCGCTGCACCCGGAAAAGCGTACCCAGCTTGAGGGCCAGGCTGCCCTTGCCACCCGCCATGTCTGCCGTAAAGCCGCTGATATAGCAGTTGATGCCCTGTACTGTATAATCAAGTGCCTGGCTGTAAATGCCCGTTTTATTGAATGGTAGCAGCGGTGCCGCGTTAAACCAGCTGGCTGCTGTGCTGTTTTTGCTGATGAAAACGGCGGTGTCTGTAGCAATGCTATGGGGTTCCATGTATTTATCGCCCAGTTTAAATACAGCATACTTACTGGTGGCCGTCTGCCCGTTCCAGAACAGCAATGCTGTATCCGGGCAATTGAATCCAACGGCCAGTTGAACAGGTGCTGAGAGGGTAAAGCTGTCGCTCAGGTATTGATTACCGTTGATGGTGACTCGCAGCATCGCTAAGGCACTGGTATCTGGTGTCAGCCATTTTGTATAATTACTCTTTACGGAAGATATTGAGCCTGCGGCCTGCCATTGATTACTGCCGGCATATTTGTATTCCAGCAGGCCGGCACCCGCATGATTGGTTTTCCAGCGGGGCAGCTGCTGCTTACCCGGTAAAAGGTTATCGTTTTTTGTGGGGTAGGTCCATTCAAAGGAATTGGCCTCATCCCACTGGTAAACGATATAGAATTTTTGTGGGCCTGAGGGTATTTTGTTTCCGGTAACTGCAATGGAATAATTTCCGGCAGCAGGACTGTCAATGCTAACCTGTTCAACGTTATTAAGGCTGTCTCTTTTGCGGGTAGCCGGTAATAGCAGTGAGTCTTTCCGGGGGAAGCTGTTTAATACCCATGGCAGCCATTGAAGGCCGGAAGCTGTGTGTGTAACCCTGAGATCAAGATCATTTACCAGTGCCGCAAATGCATTGGGCGCGGCTGCAGGATCGGTCCACGCCAGCAATATTTTCAAGTTTCTGGCAGCAGCAGGTACGGTAATGGAAAAGCTGCGCGTGCCCCCCTGCGAAAGGCTGTCGGCAATGAATTGCCCTGCCTTTAACTGCAACACCGCGCGGTAAGCATCCAGGCTGCCAAAGCCTGCTGAAAAACTGATGGGGTTGCTGTCTACCGGTGAAGCGGTGTTGAGCAGGAGGGCTTTTACCAGCGCGGCATCCGGCAAAGCGCCGCCATGGGTTTCTTTATAGGCCTGCTGCAGCACTAAAGCAGTACCGCTAACCAGGGCCGCAGCGCCGGAACTG